GGAAGAATGAAAGATAGATATATATAAATAAACTGGAATACGGGGTGCTATGCCACGTTCACCAAAGGGATGAACGCACAGGAAACATCTGCAATGTTTAAATCTAAACCAAATATCTCATTGTACTACATCTAAGCTAGCTCACAGGCCACAAAACGTAAGGGAGAAGCTATACTAGCAGGCACTAGACTGCGCACTCGTCTAAACATCACCTGAAAGAACACAATAAACATGGGACGACGCTAGGTCAGCAAATAATGCTGGTAAACCACCAATACATGTGAAATAACATACATAAGTAAGATATAAGTTTGTAAAGCCATTTTCGAAACGGAATATATATATATATATATATATATATATAGGGTTGAGTTCAAATGAGGACAACAATATATAGAGGACTGTGAGGACAAATAATGGGCACACAACAAATTAATATCAGGCACACAACTTAATACGTAATGGCACACAAGAATAAATGTAAACATCAGGTTTCGAACCCAGGCTCTTTAAATTAACAAATCTAGCACGCGACATACAAACTGTGGCACACGACTACATTCGGCCATGCACACGACACACCCGCTAATGGCACACACTACATCTGTCCTCACAGTCCTCTATAATATACTTGTCCTCATTTGAATACACATCTATATATATATATATATATATATATATATATATATATATATATATATATATATATATATATATATATATAAGTAAAAAACCAAGAGTAATAGTCAACACAAGACTCAACACTCTCAACAAGAATACGGGAACACATCCCAAGACCACAAAGAACAACACAACTCACAAGAAGTCTCAAGGTTTGATCTATCATCACACTATAGATCAACACCCGACATGCATAACTCAAAGGAATAGGGACACACCCAATGGCAACACATGCCAAGGCAACACATGCCTTTGTGACTACTCACATCACAAGAGAATAACTCACGACAACGGCTACACAAGCCCTCGTGACATCACCCATCACGAGTTGATATGCCTTCCTTATGCCCTGTTCCAACCTTATGGCTACCCCCAACCTTATATCTAGTTCCAACCTTTACATCCAGGACCCCTGTACACCAAGTCCAACCTTATTCCCCCGGGAACCGTCGTTCCCCCTCCAACAGTCCCTCCAACAAAACCACCGATTTCATAGTACACGAGGGTAGCAATAACACACGGCAACACATGCCCTGGATAACACATGTTATCCCAGAAATAAACACGTGAACCTTACACAAAGGCCACAAACTCCATAATCGCATCACGACCACTACGAGGACCGCTGCAATACCTTGGTGACTAGTGTCCCCTTCCACTAATCGTGCAATCCAGGTAAAGACACACACACATCACACCTCAACAGGAATCAATCAACGGATCACAACAAAGATAAGAAACGATACTCAATCAAGGAATGGATCACAGTCCAACAACAACGATGAATAACACAAGTTATCATCAACCAAAGGAAGGTACAAACAACACACACGCTAGCATTTAAACACCAAACTAGCATGTTTATCAAACGGGTAAACCAAACGTAGTTCCGAGGAACACACAAGACCCATCACGGTTCAACGAATCACAATGTTGAACACTTAGCACGATTCAAGACACCAAAACCTACATGGAATCCTACCATATAGTTCTAGACATACGAAACATCAAGAAGACGCTCAAACAGTTCCACAAAAGAACATCGGGAAGTCAAAAGACCAAATACCGAGTCAAAAGAATCACGGGGAACAAATCCCATAAAAACCATACCACGTGCCCCGCGGGTAGGGCCACGGGTAGGCCCCTACCCGTGGTTCCGCCCGCGGGTACATGCCTCCATTTCATTTGTACCCCGCGGTTGGGTGGCGGGTTGGACCTCTAACTGTCGTTCCGCCCGCGGGTACACACCTGTGCCCAAATAATCCCTTCGGGGATTTTAAACTCCAAGCTCAAATTCAAGTCCAAAACATGCCAAATCTCACCCAATACAACAAAATGACTTGAATCAAAGGAAATGCCAAGCAATGGCACAAATGAACCCTAAACACAAGCTCTAGATATGCATTTTCACAAGACAATGCATAAACACTCACATTTCATAGCAAAAACACATGTAGAATCCAAGAAATCACATATTGGTAAGAAAAATAGATTTTGTAGAGCATGGGTTACCTCTTGAAGACTAAAGACTTCACTTTACACCTCAACAACCTCCTCACAAAGCTCACCTTCCAAACCCACTTCAAGAACACACCAAAAGATCATAAAGATCCCATCTTTAAGAAAAGACACCTTAGATAATACTAAAAACACAAGATGAACTTAGATCTTACCCTCCTAGATGCCCAAATATATGAAAGGTTGAATCTTGGAAGCAACTCTTGAAGTTTTGGCAAGGCTTCAACTTGGTTTGGAAGAAAAGCTATCTACCTTTTTAGAGAGAAGGTAGAGCTAGATTTTTGGAAAGTGTAAGGAAAAAATGAAGGTGGTCTACTAGGTTAGGTTACAATACTAACACCAAGTGAAAGGTCAAGAATACCCTTACTAACATAAGTAAATGTAAGGGAACAAGGGAACTCCCTATAAAGCTTAAGGTACAACTTTGACTTTGGGGTTGACTAGTCAATTACTAGTCTCCGACTATTGAATTTTCAGGATTTTTAGGAATTAATTCCCCAATTGAAATAGGGTTAATTACTCAATTAATCCCTTAATTGAATTTGGATTTCGGGGTGTCACAGAAACGTGGAAGGGTCTAACTCTCGTGTAAACGTCAAATGATGAGAATGATCATTGGACTACTAAGAAGACGAAAGAAAAGGATAATCAAGTGAAGATTCATCCATTCATCCAGTCAAGACTTAAAGCTGTTGGAGAAACACGTCATTTCCATTCTACCCTCAACTCTGAAGAAGAAGTTGATAAAGGCGGAGTAAACTCAAGGAGTTGAAAAACCTTCCAAGTAGTTTGAAGTAGTTAGTACTTGGAGTGATAGTGCAAACTCTTTCACAAGTTGTCAAAGAAGAGTGGAGTTGGCTTCGTTAATAGCCGAACCACTATAAAAATTCCTCTCTCCATCTCCCTTCACTTTCGTATAACTATCTATCTGGCATTGCATGCATATTGACCAAACCCTAAGCTTCTCATAATCAAACTGTGCAAAGCATATTATAAAACGAACTCATTTTTTCCGCTGCGTTTATCTACTAAAAGGAATTGATTTCTAGTTTTCGAGAAGAGTCTATTCACACCCCCCCCCCCCTCTAGACTCTCTTTCGACCCTAACGAGACCAACAAGTGGTATCAAAGCGGTTACCTTGAATGGTAAACATTTTACTTTTACTTGTGAATGCCGGTGAACACATTAATTTATATGTAATTAATAGTAAATGCCGGTAAACACTTTTTATAATAAAAGCTAATGTTGATCTTATAAGTTTAAATTTGTTTATTTATTTTGCATTTAATGTTGATTTTGGTTTTAAATTTTCTTAACTAAGTTTGTTCTCACTTGATTCATCATTATAATATATATATACTTAGCTATTGTTAAAAATATATTTCTTCAAAACTTTAATCATTTTAAATAACATTTATATTTATATTAATAATAATAAAATTTCTATCTCAATTATAAATCATTTTAATTAAAGTGATAACGAAGTGATAATGTTGCACAAGTAATTAAAAATAAAAAATCTTTTTATTATTATATTGTACATAGTCTGATCCCTATAAGCTAGGTTTTACATACTATATATCATTTCTGACGTTCGCGCTCACAAATCACAATAAATATATATATATATATATATATATATATATATATATATATATATATATATATATATATATATATATATATATATATATATATATATATATATATTTCATGTACTCCCTCCCTATAACGATTAATTCGATCATATCATTATATTCTGGCGGATAGATCTGCACTCATCGATCAGCTATGGACGTCGAATCATCGGTAGATCTTGCATTCTTTACTTTTCTGCCATTATTATTATCATTTTTTGTTCTTGTTAATCTCAACAGTTAGTTACTTGGTTATAAATTGAACACTCTTAATTTTTTTTTTTTTTGCGCTTAATGGTTTTTTTTTTAATATATATATTTGAATAAATGTTTTAGGCATATGAACAACTAAGAATAATACATCATCAGCTCTGGACACCATACAGATTGATTTGGTAATAGTTAGAATGAAGCTGTAATTTGACTTAATAAATAGTACTCTGTATAAGATTATTTATTTACTTGCTTGTGTTCTTAGCTTAGCTTGTACTCATTCATATTCACCCTCATATGATGAAATGGTTAACGTGATTCCTAACCTTTAAACCATATGATCATCAATTAATCATTCTAGTTTGTACTTTACAAGAACTATTATCATCCTACTGCACAGTTAAACAATTAAAATGGTACTAGAGATATCTTTATTTAAAACTAGTTTGTTTTGTTTCAACACAGGTTCCCGCCTACATCTATTGCTCTACCACTGATCATCTAGTAAACAAAATAATCATGCTTTCCATATTTGTAGTTCCCTTCTATTTTTCCTTTTTGAATCAATGATAAGTCATACCCAATGTTTTGGGTTTTCATGTATCCACAACCACCAAAAAGTGAATGTCTATCACTCCGGCAATTTATATCGTGCACCAAGGCGCGCATTGCATTGTGCGCCCTGATGCAAAACGACGTCGTTTCAGATTTTTTTTTTAATGCACGTAACCGATCGAAATTGAATATGTCAGTTTTAATTGGTTATTTTGATAACTTAAAAACCGACACTTTCCACAACCCACAATCCCAAAATAGATGTATGTGTATCCCATTCCTTTGTAATAATAAAAAAAAAAGATACTACAATGCAGAAACGTAGAAGCTACACAAATTGCGGACAGAAAAACAAAACGCTCCGCAGCTGGTGCCTGTTGCGATCGCAACCCCTCATGGCAGCGTCGACGGGGGCCGCCGCGCCCCCTCCTCGCTCTTTTGCAGACATTCTCTCGGATACCACCATGCCTCCTCTTATCCGCCCATCAGAACGATACAAAGGAATGCCCGCCATCTCCTTTTCAGACGATGACGTCCACATCTTCGCCCACAAATTCAGATATGCTCTGGTATGCAAATTTGCGAAATATCGCCCGCCGATGGCGGAACTCAGAAAGGCCTTTGAACTCATTGGATTTGGAGGCGCATTCACACTAGGCCTCCTGGATCAACGCCACATTCTCATGAATTTCGATCATGAAACCGATTTCCAAAGATGCTGGCTAAGGAAGTCGTGCTCAATCAAGGGATCTTTAATGCGAGTGTTTAAATGGACACCTGATTTCCGACCTGAATATGAATCACCGATTGTGCCCGTCTGGATTTCATTAGAGGGTCTGACGGCTCATCTCCACGAAAAGAGAGCCATCTACTCGATAGCAAACCTCATTGGCTCCCCACTGAAGGTAGATGCTTTGACACTATCCCACAATCGACCTTCGACAGCGAGAGTTTGTGTGGAACTGGATGTGAGCACCTCCCCGACGGATCAGATTTGGATCAATAATGGGTCGTATGGCGGGTTTAGCCAACGAGTCACGTACGAGTACACCCCACCGTACTGTCTAGACTGCCGCAGGTTTGGTTATGTGACATCTGAATGCCGAACTACGAAAGACAAGCCCTTGAATGAACCACGTCGTGAAGCCTTGGGAGTGACTGATCAACGGCCTTCCCGGTAGCCACTGCTGGTCCCTCCACGGAAAAGGTGGCGCCCAGCGCCTCAAGCTACTGCACAATTGGTCATTCAACAAGCATCTGTTGATAGCCAAAATGAGCCAGAAGCTGGTTCAACAACACCGCTGGTGATCCCCACCGTCACGTCATTGGAAGTAAACATCATTGACGATCAGGGAATTCGTCACTCACAATCTTCTGATACTCAGCCCGGGCACTTATCTGAGGGGGACGAGGTACAGAACGCACAATCTTTTACCCCATCCCTGCTCGACTCTTAGAAAGAAGCGAGCAAAATTTTTGCTTTGAAACTGGGAGGCTCACAACAAGATAATTTCGTCACAGTAAGCAAAAGAAAAGCAGGCCAAGGAAGGACTACTCTTCCCAAGTACCGGCAGTCACAACACGCCTTGCAGCGGGAAAAATCGCTAGGGTCTCTTTTTCCCACCGCCTCAAATGAATGTGCTCAGTTGGAACGTCAGGGGCCTACTATCCTCACGTCGTAGGCTCAAACGACTAATTAGACGTGAGCATGTACAAATGGCTTCAATAATCGAACCAATGCTAACCCAAGACAGTTTAGCGCAGATGACACAGGCCTTGGGCTTTTCAGATGGTTTTGCCTCATCGGAGTCCAAAATCTGGCTACTTTGGACTACTGATTTCGAAGTAGAAGTAGAGTGTGACAATGGCCAATTTGTTAGCTGTAATGTTGTTTATCTACCTTGGCAGTTCAGATTTCGTTTTGTCTCAGTTTATGCGAAGCACACAAGGGGAGAGAGGCTACATCTCTGGGCACAACTTGCTATTCTTCTAAATAGCCCTTTGCCGATTCTGATGGGAGGTGACTTTAACGTTATCTCAAGTGTGACGGAGTACCAAGGAAGTGCATGGCCGGACACTAATAGCATAGCTGACTTCTCATCGTTCATCCGAGATAATGCATTGATTGACTTGGATGTTATAGGCAACCTGTACACTTGGCATGGAGTTCGAACTACTGGCCCTGTCTGGAAGAGGCTAGATAGGTTTCTCATAAATACAGTTTGGAGGGATTCATTCTCAGATATCCGAATTTGTGCTCTAGCCAGAACCACATCAGATCACGCACCATTGCTTCTCCACGGTGCGAACTCCTCGCTCTCAGCTCTGAAACAGTTCCGCTTCCAGAATATGTGGCTAACGCATCCGGACTTCATGGAAATAGTTCGCAACAGTTGGGAGCAATCAGCAGACGGTGGGGGCATGAGAGCTCTCTCCTATAAGCTAAAACGGCTCAAGATGGCGCTAAAGGATTGGAATAAGCACTCCTTTGGCAATATCTTTGGTCGTATCAAAACTCTGGAATCGGAGGTAGCTTTAGCAGAATGCAGACACGCCAATAACCCCTCTGGAGAATCTAGAACAGCACTGCAAGCTAAACAGGCAGACCTCATGTTGGCTCTAAAGCAGGAAGAAAGTTTTTGGAAGCAGAAGGCTAGGGTAAAATGGGTGAAGGAAGGAGATGCGAATACTCGTTACTTTCACTCGGTGGTTAAGGACAGGCACCGAAGACAACGCATCTCCTCGGTAAAAAGTGCTGGGGGTCATTTGCTAACCGATCAAAGGGAAATACAGGAGGAAGCTGTCACATTCTACTCTTCCCTTTTCTCAGCAGAAGATTGCCCCAATCTAGAACCTCTCTTGCAATGCCTCCCCCCAGATTTGCTCGAACATGATACTCACTCTCTTGTTTCACAGTTGACGCCGGAAGAGGTCAAAGAAGCAGTGTGGAAGCTAGACCCGGACAGCGCGCCGGGGCCAGATGGCTTCTCTGGTGCGTTCTTTAGACACTGCTGGGAGTTAATAAAAGAGGACGTTTTTTGGGCAGTTCAAGACTTCTTAGTGGGGGTCCCGATTCCTCGAGCTATGGCAAGTGCACAAATAATCCTCATTCCCAAGAAGGCTCATCCAGACTCCTTTGCTGACTACAGGCCGATCAGCCTTTGCACTTTCATTAGCAAAGTTTTCACGAGGGTCATAGTCTCAAGGCTAAATCCTATTCTCCCGAAGCTAATTTCTCGAGAGCAAGCAGGCTTTGTGAAAGGCTGCAGTATTCAAGATAACGTCCTGCTAGCCTTTGAATTGCTCCAATATTTGGACAAAAAATGCCGCGGTGCGAATGGGATTGTCAAGCTAGATATGATGAAGGCTTTTGACCGGGTTTCTTGGTCTTATCTAAGAGCGGTTTTGGAGCGCCTTGGCTTTCCGGCGTTGTTCGTTCACATCATAATGGCCAATTTGGAGGCAACAAGGCTATCAATATTGGTTAATGGTGCTAGTTGTGGTTTCTTTCAATCGACTAGGGGAGTGAAACAAGGTGACCCGCTATCGCCCCTCCTCTTCATATTGGCCTCAGAAGCTCTGTCTCGGTCACTGATCTTGAAAGTAGGTGTGGGGCTACTATCTCCATACTATACAGGGCCAAGATGTCCCCCCATCACTCACTTAGCCTTTGCAGACGACATAGTTATTTTTGTAAATGGGTCATCGGCCTCGCTAAAAGCTCTGGTGGACGTTTTAAATCTATATCAAAGTGGCTCGGGGCAAAAGATCAACTACAGTAAAAGTTTCTTTGTTACCTCCTCTAAATGTACACACAGTCAAACTTCTGCCATGTCTCGAATCTTGGGAATGCAAAAGTTGACCTTGCCATTCCGTTATCTTGGGGTGAATCTTTTTAAAGGTAGAAACCGCCCTATTTACTATCACCACTTGCTTGAGAAGATTGACTCTACTTTGTTAAGCTGGCAACGAAAGCTTCTCTCACCGGGGGGCGTCTAACCTTAATTCGTCACGTGCTCTCCATGATCCCGTTGTACACTGCTTCTTCACTCCTGTTACCCAAACAGATTGAAAGGGCCCTGGAAACCAGATTTTCCAACTTCTTATGGGGTATGGAAGGTAGCAAACTGAAGAAGCATTGGACCTCGTGGAAGAAGATGTGCTTCCCGTTCGAAGAAGGCAGGCTTGGACTACGATCAATTGGCAGCATTCAGAAAACTTACTCAGCCAAAATCTGTTTTAATTGGATGCAAGGAGGTTCGCTTTGGGGTGACTTTATGCGAGCTAAATATCATGACCCTCCCCAGGCAACCTGTTCGATGATTTGGAGGAGAATACAACAAGTCCAGGACTTTGTGCAGGAGCAGATAGTGGTTACTTCTGAGGGGAATGAGTGCTGGTTTCTCTCCTACTTTGGAGACTTTACTTTCTCCTCAGCGTACGAGGCCCTACGCGAGAAGGCTGGCAGAAGTCTTTCGTCGCAAAGCATCTGGGGAGGTGGTTTGCCGTCGAGGATCTCGCTGTTCATGTGGCACCTACTTCGGCGGTTACTGCCTTTTCCGGACATCATACAGAAGCTAGGAGTGGTGTGTCAACCATCTGTTTGCCCTTTCTGCCATTGTGACTCGGCATCCATGGAGCATTGCCTCTATGATTGTGCAATGGTGCAGCAGGTTTGGAGCTATTTTGCAGGACTTTTCGGGCTTTCCCAAACTCAAGCGAGCTCGGTTAGAACAGTGTGCCATGCATGGTGGCTGCTAACGCCATCCTCGGCAATCAGCTGGTGTGCAAGGCTTATACCTGCTATCATTTTATGGACCCTGTGGTGCTCTTATAATAAGGGAATTTATGAAGATACATCTCTATCATCGCCAGAAGCCATCAACAGAGTGCGGCAAGAGATTTATTTAATCTCTTTAACGCGTGAGTGTAATAGAAGAGGTCCGACCGATGACTTCCTTCTCACGGCTGGGCTTATATCTCGTTTTGGCCTAACGCCGCGAAAGGTTACGGTGTGGGTACGATGGCTAACACCTCCATTGGGAAGGTTAAGACTCAATTCGGACGCGGCATACGCGGCAGAAGGTGCGGCTGGAAGCGCCTGCTTGCGCGATTCCAGTGGTCGTCTAGTAGTTGGGCTTAGCTTCCGCCTTGAAGCAGCCTCAGCTCTAGAGGCCGAAGTTGTTTCCTTGCATCTTGCTACCCAGTGGTGTTTAGCCTTTGCTAAGTGCCCATCAGAGATAAAAGTGGACTCCAAGATTTTGGCTGAGTTGATTGCGTCTCGCACAGACAGAATACCATGGAGAATTAAAGCCGCGGTGGCTTTCATTCGTTCTTACCTGAGCTGCTGGAATGGCCAGATTAGACATATCTACCGGGAAGCTAACCGGGTTGCCGACGCGCTTGCTGAATCTGGCATTGCTTCCTCTCACTCGATGATCTTTGTTGATTCTTGTACTTTGCCTGAAAAGGCCAAAAGAGCTCTTTTGTATGAACTCAGAGGCTTTGCCTCCCATCGCGCTATTCGCCATCAATAAAACTCTCTCATTTATTAAAAAAAAAAAAACAATAACAAAATTCTTAACACATTCAATAAGCATTGTCCAAACTCCAAATTCACAACATTCAAAAACGGTATAATCCAAAGTCTGACTCCAAAGTTCATAACACATTCAATAAGCAAAAATAAATAAATAAAATCCAAAGTTGATCAACATTATATTCAACATGCACTAGTAGACCAACACTCTTCATTCTTCAATCTTCATTTATTAGCAAATTAACACTTTCAATTTTAGACTTTTAGTATCATATTTCAAACCAGTTGCATCCAAAAATAAATTAAAAGTGAATATATGATTATATGCATGAGATATTATAACTAATTCAAAATATATAAATTAATCTAATTTTTATTGTTAAAGTAACTCAATTCACAATACTAGGTCTCTGCCACATCTCTATCTTGTGGTAGAAGTCAAATATTCATTTTCCTATGTGAATTATGCCTAACTTGTTGCACAAATACTTAACTTGACTATTGTTTTAAGGCTTTTGTGAAAAGGTCTCCAGGTTATTCTGATGAGAATATAATTGTGTTGTATTCAATAATAATGTCTGAGAGTACATGGAGCGAATATATAGAGATGCTAGATAGAATCCTAGTCTAACACGAATAATA